AAGTTATAAACTGGAGGCCAAAGGCCGTCAGTACAGTTTTCTCAATGAGTTTAAATTATTAAAGCTTAATATTTGCAAGATATATGTAAAATGATGAGCTGAACAAGTCTAGTTAAGAGCCCAGGACAGGTTGTCTTAATAAAATAAATAGTTATAAGAGTTTTTAGATGGACGAATTTTTTGTTAATTTTTGTGCAATGGATTTGCAGAAAGAGTTTTTTTTTTCCTTAATTAAATTGATTTTATGTTATAAATACTAAAATCAAAAACAAATATATTTCAATGTATTTAATTGCAAGATTTATCGCAAAAATTAGAAAATAATTTTTGCATTATTTATACAAAAAGTATTATAAACTATGATAAATAATTTTAGCATTATAAACTATATATATCATTAATGTTGTTTATATATATATGTTTGTGTGTACTGTCTATTGCAATTTAAGATTTTTACATCAAACTAATGTAATCTAATGCTATTGATTATAAATTCATTAAATATATCATATATTATTGGCATTACTATAAATTTTACTATCTAATTATAAATCATATTTACTAAACATACTATTTATTAAATCTTCTGTATTATAATTCATGTTCCTAAACAAATTTGAGTATATTATATAATTGTTGATAAACATATTTATTTGCAATTGACTGTTAGTTTCAAGTGATAATTTGATAAAATCAATAATATCTAAAATTGTAAAAATATTATTCACCTGTTCAACAATTTCTGATAAAGTGATTTCTTGATTATTTGAAAGTTGGTATTCTTGATTTGTATTAAGTAAATGTTCATTGATATCAGAAAAAATAGAATTGTTGACTGAATTTCTTAATTTTTGTTGAGTTAAGTCTTTTTCATAGTAAACCAATTCTTTTTCGATATGTGTTAAATAATAAGATCAAATCTTTGCTATTGATTAAATATGATGAATATCAAGTCTGTGTTGATTATTTCCATAAAACTACCTCAATATAGAAAAGTTTCTTTTGCATCCTGTCTGAGAAGGCATTATTGAAAATAATTTAATTGCAAGTTCAATTAAAGGCTGCTCTTCCTCATCAAATGTAACTACCAATTAAGAGAAGTTTTATTTGTTTTTTTATATTCTATATCAAAAAGATCTTTATTTCACTTATATTTTCTAAGATTAGCTAATAGATTTGAACATGAATACTCATCATTTCTCAAAGCTTTCCAATACTTAGCGCAATTTCACAAATTCATCAAATAATCCTTGTTTTAATTCTAAACTATGATAACCAGGATGTAAAAAGTATTCAAGTAAATAAGCATCATGGTTAAACTCATTATATCGATGATTGAATATATTAATAATAATATTTTTTAAAACATTTTCATTGGGCATTCGATTAATTGCAATAGCTAATTTTATATATTCAATGAAACAATCAGCTATTGTTGCAGTTTTTGATTATACTATATTAATAGCCTCTTTAATTAGTTTAAAAACATCTGATACTATTTTACACATTTGAAATAATTTTTTATCTTCAAGATAATTTGATACATTTTTATTGGTTAATAGATCAGAATGTTCATGTTTAATCTATATTTTAATATTGAATAAAATAATGAAATATTATTAATATATATATGTATTAAATATATATATATATATAAATACAGGCAAGAGAAAATGTATATTCTAAAAATGGGTGATTATAGATTTTATAATAATATACTTTTAGAATATACATTGTTTCTTGCTACACTCTTATATAATAATTGTCACAGCTGATGCTAGAAACAGAAATCAGGGACACTGATTTAAAAATATAAACTCTGCCAAAATCTACATATATTCTTTCATTATCAAAACTAATCCTAAATCCTAACCTAACTATGAAAAAAAAACTAAAAAAATGCACTCTAAAAAAAATTAAAAATTTTATATTAAAATATTTAAAATTTTCAGCTTCAGCCATTTCCAACTTAAGATATAACAATAATTATATAAGATTAATTTATCCAATCAAATATTGAACATGAACATGATAATAAATCAGTTGTATTTTAAAGAGAACACTATCGGGTTTTGCTATATATCTTTAAACTGCCACCTTTAATTTGTAATTTCATTAATTCTTCTTTTAATATAGCATTTGCATAATAATTTTTGTTGAAAAATCCTATAATTTCATTGCATTGAGAATTAAAATTCCAATTGACTTAATTTTTACTAAATCTGTAGCAATAAGATTTAATGAATGTGCTGTGCACTGAATGCTTAAAATATGTAGATACTTTTGATTAATTATTTGTTGTGCAACTCTAATATTACTATTACTATTAGTTACAATTTCAGCAACTTTCTTTACTTCTATATTTACAATAATGGATTCGATTTCATTGGTAATATATACTTCTGTTTGGGATATTTTTGAATAATCCTTAAGTGTAATAAGATATTCATGCTGATCTGTAGTTGATATTATGTAATTATAAATTGAATTTCCACTTGGTGACAACCATCCACCAAGAGCAAGTGTTAAAAACTTGCATTTTTCTAATTCTGCATCAACTTTTAAATTGATTTTTGCAGTTTCTTGTTCAAGTAATCTATTAGAAAAGGTTATACAGCTAGGTAAAACATATGCTGAATTAAGAGTATTAAATAAATTAGCTATAAATGGATTACTAATAATATCAAAGAATATACCTGTCATAACCTATGTCTTTAAAATAGCTATATCAATTTTATTTTGCTTATGCAATGGTAAATTATACTGATCTAATTGTTTTTGATTTGAACTTTTTGTTCACTTATAACTAATAATTTTATCAGAAAGTAATTCTTGCCAATAATCTTTTATGTCTTTAGAAACTTCAGGACAAATATTCACAAAATAAGCTTCTATTTCTGCAGGATGACCATAACTCCAATGCTTTGAACAATATTGACAAGTTGCACTATGATTCTTACTTGTTATATAATAATCCCAAATTTTTTTTCTTGGCCAGCCTGCATTTTTTGTTTTAATGTTCTATATTGTTCTTCTGGAAACATATCGGCCTCAGTTGAAGATAATTGGTTTGACATATTTGAAGATATACTTGCAAGAATTGATTTATTAATTATATTAAAAAATCAATTTAAAATAAAAATAGTCAATGTTATATATTATTATTGTATCATTATACTATCATATTAATATGATGCATTATATATATGTATGTATATATGTGTATACATTTTTGTTTTAACAATTCTAAATTTAATTTTTTTTTTATACTTCCAAATTTAATTTTTGCTTTCATAATTCTAAATTAAATTATAATATCATGCAATCTTTATAAATTGTAAAACTATAATATTTTTGTAAATTAATTTATTTTTGTATTCAAATTTAATTAAGTTTATATTGCTAGTTTACACTTAGTAACAAACATTCTCAAATTATTAAACTAATAAAAAAAGAGGCTTTAAGCCTTATTAATATAGCTAATACAAAGAAAATTACTAACAAACAAATTACTTAATTAACATAATTATTATTTTAACTTTAGAATGCAGACTTCATAACATAATCCTTCCTTATACTATATGTAACCAAATCTTATCCAAATACCTTTTGTAGCTAAACACAAATCTCATTTTTCTAGATTTATACCAAATAGTGCATTGCTTAATTCATTTTTATACAATATACATAGCATCTGGAATATTCAATTTTAATATTATATTTTTAACTATCTTTAACAAATTAGCAATCCTAATCTTTTTGGTATTACAACTTAAATTAAACTTTAACAGTTACAAAACAACTTATAGTTTTCTAATAGCATATTACATCACTTCAAATCTACTATAGATAGTTTTAACAGACATTCATTAAATTTTAAAACTACTCAACTTCTTTCTTATCTTGGATTAACTATTTTAGTTAATTTCAACTTGATCTAGCCTTACACAATTAGTAATATAGCCAATTACTAGAATCTATTCTATTACAGTACCCAAAATATTTAATCTTTAAAAAGCAACTTAACAATCAAACATTATGTATCTTGAACAACTTTGCACAACAGATAACAGCACTTTACTTGACTGAAAACATCTTTTACTAAGATTGTTATATATATAAAGGCAAAAAACGGTTTTGGTTCTCTTATTAAAAGATACAATTTTAGCATACTTTTATTATTGAAATATTTTACTATATTACCAATTATTAGGCCACAACCCTTATACTTATCATACTATTAATACTTCCAAAAAACTTACTAAATCTAAACTCTGGTTACTCTTATACTACAATAATAAAATCATTATCAAAAAAATATGAAAATATTTTTTATCTTCTAATTAGTACTCTATTATTTATTAAACCTCTAATATAGACTTAAACTATATAAAATTTTATTCTTTACCCTCTATTAACTACAAACAATGTACAGAATGCCATCTTAATTCTTATAGAATTAACCAAACCTGTACTGTTAAAGTTTCTGCAATTATTTCTACACAATTTTTTGGTAAAACTAACTCAAAGCACCAACTCAACCTTAATGCCAATTACTTGAATCTTATTTGCTTTACTGCTATCAAACATCTAACCATATTCCTTTTTTATCTAATATTCTTATTATCAACTCAATTGTCTCTGAAATCTTTATTCCAAGTGAATCTACTAACAAACTTATATATATTTTACACTATAATCTCTCTTATCAACAACTATCTTTTTATATTATTAGACCCATAATTGACATTGGTATCACCAATACACAATGTGTATTAATTGAATTCAAGTTAATAATAATAATTAAATTATTAATTCCTTTTCTGCTAAAATTAAATTCTGGCTCTTATCTTACAAAGCAGAATTCTTATTAATTATGATTGTAATTTTAATAGCTTCTTAAAACTGTGTTATTAATATTTTTATTAACTCTTAATTAGTAATCTCTAAATTTAATAATTTTCTACTTAAGCCAATCCATCTTAACAAGTTACTTAAATTTAATTCATGGCCAATTTGGCACACTTTTAAACATTATTAAATCATACAAATTACATTACTTTTTACAAAGTGCAGGCTTATTCAAACAACTATCTCAATGAGCAAGCAGACTCTTTTGCCAAACAACATCTACTGTTACCACTTTTTTTATTTAACTATACAAATCTTTACAATGCTTATTATATTCTTCAATAGAAACATTATTTTGTAAAACTTCCTACAAGGTATTTTATTAAACAAATCTGTAAAGCTTACATCTTAGCTATATGGCATTACAAAAATAAAACAGTAAATGGTCATACTTCAACCAAGACATTAATTGGAGATCCATTTGGCTTTACTTTAATTATAATCAAAAACTCTTATATAATATTTCTAACTTTAGATTTAATTAACTAAAATCTTTTAAAATAAAAATTCTTCTTAATAAGTTGCCAACATACTTATTATATAATACTATTTATCCAAGCCAATATTCAGACACTATTTGCTTTTATTGCAACCTAACTAATTCTCATTCCTACTGGTATACTTGTACTAATTTATCTTTACTTAATTAAATCATTCAAACCTCTACAAACCAAATTATTTATAATAATTTATCTGATCTTAACACCTATTAAAAACATAATCTAATTAACAAATTCTTTATCATTTAGCTCTTAGCTCTCTATATAATTATCTAATACTTACTATTCTAACTTTACTCTCAAAAAACTTATTCCAAAGTCTTTTATATTAATAATTTAAAACTTTAACATCTTATACAAAACTGTCTCTCAAGTTATTATTAATATTCTTCTTAATATTAATGAAGAATCATATAAGCAACTATAAAAAACATATTGTATTTATTTCTTTAATTAGAAAAATCAACAAAACAAACTCTGATCTTAACCAATTAACCAATCTTTAAGATTATCTAATTTAACTAAAAACTATATATGCTTTTGAAGAGATTATACTTATTCATGTCTTTGTGAACTTCCTAATCAATTACATTCTTATTCAAATACATGCCCTTCTATTGGTCAAACAATTTACAAAATTAACATTTGGTCTATCTTATGGATCAAATATAGCATATCATTAAATTATATATTAAACATTCAAATCTTAATAAGCTTTGACTATTCTAGTAGGTTTAGGTTATAGATAAACTAGTCTGAACTTTTATTTTTGTATGTAATTTTTAATTTATTTGTTTTATACAAATAGTAGTAATAACTAAGTTAGCAGTTTAATAGTTAGTTCTAACTGCAAGTGTTGGCCTTGGCCATAGCATATATATATAACTATTTTAAATTATTAATAAAAATATAAGCAAAGCCTCATCTTAATACTAAAAAAAAAAAATTAAAAAAATAAAAATAGATAAGAGAACAAGAAATAATAATATAATTTTGAATATATAATTAGTATTATATTTAGAGAATCTTTAATTAGTAAAGAAGATTATTTTTACTTTTTTATAATCTTTATTGTTATTACTTTATTAGTCTGCTATTATTATAAATAATTGTTGATAATTTTTGTATTATATTTTTAAATTTAATATACTGTCAAACCTCCTAAAGCTGATTTTGTCAAAACTAATAACCTGTGATAACTGATAAAAAATTGAACCACTATGTCTGTTCTATAAGTCAAATCTGATAATCCATCAAATCTAATAACTGATACTAAGAAATTAAATATTATAAAATATCAGATTTGATAGGTAAAAAAAATTGATTTAATTGGCTCAAATTAGATTTTATGTAATATATTATAGATATAAAAAATAAATCTAGTCAATTATATTTATTTATAACTATAATGCTAATAGGTTATTAGTATTTCAAAACAGATAACCTGTCAAAACTGATACAAACTAGGGAGGTTATACAGTATATAAAATCTTAACATTGGATCATAAATTTTGCTATTTATTTTATTTTTTTTTGGTATTAAGGTGAGGCCTTGCTCATATCTTTATTAGTAGTTTTAAGGTTAGTAACTACATGGAGTTACTATGTATACAAAGTTATTCTATATAAATGCTATGGCCGAAACCAATACTTGCAGTCATGGCAAAACATTAAACTGCTAACTATATAACTAGACTCTAAATACAAAAGGAAAAACTACATTCAA